AATCAATTTTATTATGCTGCTGCCCTCGCCCCGCCGCATCCCGTGCAGTTTCCCGTGCCGCACAATTGGGCAAATCAGGCAGAAAGCCAGGATACACGGCAGCCAGAGCCCTCACCGCCATCCCCACCGCCATATATGCTGCCATATATGTAGATCCGAGTCGCGATACCTGGCGAAACGATGTAGACCCCGAGCAGGCTTCCTGTTTACCACGTGAACGGACGGGCGAAGGAACGGACAGCCGGCAGGTGGAGTGCACGGTGCATCGGAACGGAAGCGAGCCCAATGGGGCTTTGAACACCATTATCCTGAAGCGGGCCAATTGGATGCCAAGCAAACAGGGACCCAGGATGCATCTTAGCCGGGGACTTAAGCTACAGGAAATTTAAGTTAAGTCTAGTTGAACTAAGTCAGAAGGTTAGGTGATGGAAACAAACGACTAGCAAGGTGAAAGCTTAACAAAAATGGGAGATGAGACTTATGATAAAGTAGAAACAGTAGTACAGACTTATGAGAAAGGAAGATATTAAAAGGTATAATAAATGAGACCAGGTAAAAGCAATTAAATTCAAGGATTTCTTTTTTAAAAGTTAAACTAAAACAAGCAATAACTAAATCTTCTAGTTATCATATATTGAAACACCTTTAACGAATCAAATAAAATTAAGTTAAGTTAATAAATTAAGTGCCAAAATTATTCAATGACTTCACTTAATTAAAGTTACACAAGGCACTTCATTATGTATTAGATTATCTTAGATGGATCTTTTTGCAACAAAAACCTCAAGTCTATGGCTTTATTTTCAATATAAGCCTATTTACCTCGACAAACTGATGGATACTTTATAGATTATAATCAATTTTAGTTATAAATACAATTCAAAAACTAGTTTCTGGCTCCATAAACTCTTGAAAGATTAAATATTCTATTATTATTTATACGGTTCATAATTCGAATTCAAGTTCATACAAATCGAAAAACGGAAATCCAAATGGCGCCGACTAAACTGGTTTCTGATTTGGTCTTTACAGAGGCGATCAATAGGGTCTGCGAGGTACAACATGGCCACAAAGGCGATCAATAGGTCTCGAGATTGCCCCCTTAATATTCACATTAATTGCTGCGGACGCCGCACAACTCCAGTCCAATCCACATTCAATTTGATCCCAATTAACTATCGCTTTGTTAACTGTTACGTCGACATGAAGGCCTTATCGGCGACTCCCACGACTGCACGCAAAGCCCTCGACAACAACGACACCCAGCAGTACAAACAATAAAGTACAAGAGAACGCATTATCAAAACAATAAACAATTGATGGCGTTTTACTTGCGATAACAACAACCACAGAAGAGGGCTTCTCCAAAAGGAATAAAAATCAATAAAGCACACAGAATGCAATTGCACGAAAGCAAGGCAGTACAAAAGCAAAAGCACAAGAGGAGAGGCAACCGAAACACAAACAGCAAGAAACGCTTGCAAATAAATAAAAATTGCTTTATTTATTAAGCATTAAACAATAAATGGGATTATTTTTATCATTGCCGCATAGATGTTTAGTGGAGCACGGGCACAGAATGGAGCGGAATGGAGTCGATGGGGCGGAGAAACAATAAGGAATGGCCACCCACCTCCTCCTCCTCCTCCTCCGCAGTGCGAGTGCGAGAATAATAACGAATTCAAACCCAGAAGGCCAAGGAAGGAGGAGCTACCAAGATAAATAAATGCAAATCATTTTTTTCCCTCCTGCTTCTTATTGTTCCCTCTAGATGCCCCATTTAGTACCCAGTGCTTGGGTATGTGGGTGCTCACCAGGTTGGAGTGCTACAAGCTTAAGCAGGGTAGCTCCCGGGTCGTACTCTACCGGCAGAGAGTGTCTCTCCGGAATAGAGTGTTTAGCTCTGTAGGATTTTGGGCACGATTGAAAAGGGCATTACGGAAAGTGCTCGCTGGGAGGAGGTTGGCTTGGGCCCAGGCAAAAGGCAAAGCAAGTGCCCGAGCTCTGGAGTGGACAGACGGCACAACACCTAAGTGTAGGCAATCCAACTCATTTAAATGGAACGTTCCGGTTGCTCTGCTCCATATATATCCGTTCTTATTTTTTGCTCCTGTCACTCTTGCTGTTGTTGTTGTTTATCCCGCATTTGATTTCAGCAAATTTGTAACTGCCACTTTGCATTACTACCTTTTTTTGGCCCCACTTCGGACCGGAGTCCGATTCCGATTCCGATTCCGACCTTTGTGCGACCATCGGGCGAGTGAGTGCTTGCCTGGCGAAAGGTAGCTAAAGTTTTGCAAGTGACAAATAGATTTAAATTTGAAAATACTTTTCAGTCGCCGCTGCTTTGTTTCTGCACAGTGCGAGTGGAAGTTTGTGTTATGCAAAGCTCTATTGACAGCGGTCGTAAATCTTTGTAAAAGTGCCCGAAACCCATGTCAGAGAGGATAACAAAAACTAGGGGGTTGGGTTTGGGGCTCGTCCAGGGGTTGGGGCGTGAAAATGTGTGTAGGAACATGGAAAATCAGTTTTCAAGTTGGCTCGATTTGAGGGGTTAACCCCTGACCCCTAACTAACCCTTTCAACTAAGCCCCCTTTTACACAGCCAGCTAGGTTATGGATGAGTGAATTTATCGCCTAATGGAAAAGTAAGCCCAAAAGAAAGTCGCCTTGGAACGGGGGCAGGGAATCCATCGCAGCCAGATAACTATAAATAGTCAAGTGGCTCTGCAAAGTTTGCTGATTATTCGGCGCGCTGCCGTAATCGATGTGCACGGGGCAGCAGATGTTATATTTATGAACTATTTTGCTTATCTGACAGAGGGACCTGCTCGCTAGCGTAAGACAGCAAAGCAAAACAAGTATTTATAGATACAATATCTTTCAGATAAACGCGGGTACTTATGGTCGAATTATTCCCAATGCCCAAGCATTTTTACTAGGAAATATTTTGGGGCCCAAGCGCCAGCTCTATTTTATTGGAATTCTATTCTGGAAGTGATCTCATTTCGGTTGCCATTAGAATCTGTTTACATTGCCCGGGAATGGGCGGCATTAAACACTATTCTGCTGGCCATCATTCGTGGGACTCGGGTTGCGTTATTTCCAGAGAAAACGTGGAATCGACGGGGCAATTACGAGGGCACAAATGTTCACAGCTCGAAGCTGGATTGCATTCACAAATTAGCATTCTAATGAGCGGCGCAGCGAGGAGTGGTGCATGCTGCATGGCAATTATGGCGCCGCGTTCTTCATTGCTACTTCTGTTTTATTTTCCTTTTTATTTTCACTAGTTCTGCATCTACACTTGTGCCACACAATTCGCTGGAAAAAAGGGCCAACTCGAGTCAGCAGAACTTGGCCTTTGCGTGTTCGCTGTTTGGCCAATTGAAATTGGGGCGGTTGTAGAGGGCTCATGAATGGGAGACATCTGGGCTGATCTAGTTGCACTTCCCAGTGGCGGGCACCCCCTTTTTCCGCTTCCTAACCGCGCTCATGGTGTCAGCTTCAGCTCCAGCTCCAGCTCGAGCTCGAGCTCGAGAAGTTTTCGGTTTGCGGGCCTCTCGACTTTCGGGGGGAAAATGAAACCGAAAACCGGTTACTGTGCGTTGAAAAATTCTCGACTTTTGTTTCACATACACAAAACGGAGTTTATCTTTTGGCCCTGTTCTGCTCGGTCCTGACCGCTCCTCTCCTCTGGCCAACTCCGTCTCCGCTTTTGTTTTGTTGTTTATCAAAATTCTTTGAAATGCACTCGCACACTCACTCTTACACACACACACCCCAGCCAAGTCCCTCCCTGTCCCGCTCTGGCACACAAAATTAAATTTTTTCCTTTGGTTTCTTTTTAATTTTTATACGGCTCTTTGGCTGATTCTGTGGCATTTTCTTCCTGTTCTTTTTACTTGCACGCTCCACTGAACCCCGAACCAAGGAGTGCCCTTCCCTACTTGTTGTTTTTGTTTCGGATGCCCATTACCTTTAAAAGTATATAGATTCTTGAGTGACTTGAGCTGCAACAGACGGATAATATTTAACTAAACTAATTTACCTAACATATCTTAAAATAAAACAAAGAAAGCTCTTCATAACGGAAAATCTAACACTCATAAAGGGAGATCTGTTTTTTAAAAAAGTCATTGTAAGACCTTTAAAAAGCTTTCTTGGCAATAAAGGTCTTGAGTTCCTGTAGCCTTATTAATTTCGAAACTTTCAGCACTCATGGTACTACTTTCACCTGTATCTTTTTAGGAAAATCTCAGAGATATTAATCCAATGGGATACTAAGTATCCCTTAGTCAGTAAGCTCGAGTTCAGCATTCTTAGTTGTTTCGCTGCTGCCGTTGACTAGTAGTTTCGGTTTGTTTAGGAGCCGGGTCGGTGCTTTTAAACGCTGCTCGCTGAAGAGTTCCAGTGCCAGTGCCAGCACCAGCACCAGCACCAGTAGGAGTTTGAGTTTCAGTTTGAGTTTGAGTTGTTGGGAACCGAGCTGAGCCGAGCTGAACATGCATGTAAAAATGCAACGTAACTTGGCCAGGGGACAGTGGCGGTGGAGTGGCTGAAGTGTATGGAGTGGAGTGGTCGTACTGGTGGTTGGGGTCAGGGAGGGACAGGAACTGGGTCCAGACCGTGTGCTGTGTGCTGTGCGGTTGATGACTTGCGCCGGGCCCAAAGAGACTGACTGACTCTGGTCGCCCTGGCAGTCCGACTTTGACTTTGGCACTGGTTAGACTGGCTGGCTGGGAATTCCGGGACCAGGGGCAGGGAGCATGGTCTTCTGCGGTCTCTGCTGATTCGGTATTCGGTCTGGATTGGCTTTTGACTCTGGGACAGGGCTGGCTGGCGGTTTCCTGTGATGTTTTGGTTACTTCATAGCCTGTTGCAAAATTAGTGTGATCAGAGCCATCAGATAACTCGTGTCGAGATATGAGGAGGCGATGCTTTGACAAAGTCAATTCCACTCCTAGTGGGATTTCCGAAAAAATTAAGAAAGGAAAAGCTTGATTTGAAGCTGGGTATTATTATTGGTAATATGCCTTTCATATATCTAATAGCATCCGAGTTAACAAGTTAAAAGAAATTAATAATAAAAACAAATTAATAATACTTGTTCATGGAGCTTCACATCGCAGACAACAATAATTTATATCCCTTCAGAGGGCCCAGAGATCATTTAAGATTCTTGATCAAGGCATTGGTAAACTCTGAGCATTTGGCCTTGCCGCCCAGGTCAATGGTGCGGACGTTGTCGTCCCTGATGGTCTTCAGGATCGCCTGCTCGATCTTGTCCGCCTGCTCGTGCATCCCGATGTAGTGCAGCATCATGACGGAGGAGAGCAGCAGAGCCGTGGGATTGGCTATGTCCTTGCCGGCGATGTCCGGAGCGGTGCCGTGCACCGACTCGAAGATGGCGCCGTGCTCGCCCACATTGCCGGATGGCGTCAGTCCCAGTCCGCCAATCAGCCCGGCACATGTGTCCGAGATAATGTCCCCGTACAGGTTGGGCAGCACCAGCATGTCATACTTGTTGGGGTTGATGACAATGTTTAGGCACAAGGTGGTCATATTGGTCTCCTCGAACACGATGCCCGCCTCGTCCAGCTTGCTCTTGTACTTGGCGGCCATTTCGTGGACACAGCGCAGAAAGAGGCCGTCGGACATCCGCATGACGTGCTTCTCGGCCACCACGGTCACCTTCTTGCGCTTCATGGCCAACGCGTACTGGAAGGCGTACTCGGCCACGCGGAGCGAGGCCGCCCGGGTGATCAGCTTGATGCTCTGCACCACCCCGTTGACCAGGGTGTGCTCGATGCCCGAGTACTCGCCCTCGGTGTTCTCGCGAATGGTGACGATGTCCACCCCACCGTAGACCGTCTCGGCGCCGGGCAGTGATCGGCAGGGCCGGACGTTGGCATACAGATTGAACAGCTGGCGCAGCGTGAGGTTCAGGGAGCGGAAGCCAGTGCCCACCGGGGTCATCAGGGGACCCTTCAGGCCCACCTTGGTCCGGTTCATGCTCTCGATCACCTCCTCGGGCACCGTAGTCTGGCCCTGCTTATTCATCACCGGCGTAACGTCCACGGGCTCGAAGATCAACGGCGCACCGGCGGCCTCCAGTACCTGGATGACGGCCATCGAGATCTCCGGACCGATGCCATCACCGGGCATCAGCGTAATGACACGCTTTTGATCAGAGCTCTGTCCTCCGGAAGATTTGTCTCCTGCTCCTCCTTTCCCAGGTGGCGTACTTCCTGTTGGTGGCTTACCAGGAGGAGGTCCTTTTGAAGGAGGCGTCTTTCCTGTTGGTGGCTTACCAGGAGGAGGTCCTTTCGGAGGTGGCGTCTTTCCTGTTGGTGGTTTACCAGGAGGAGGTCCTTTTGGAGGAGGAGTTTTTCCTTGTGGTGGCTTACCAGGAGGAGGTCCTTTCGGAGGAGGAGTTTTTCCTTGTGGTGGCTTACCACGAGGAGGTCCTTTGGGAGGAGGTGTCCCTTTTGGAGGTGTTTTTCCCTTTGGTGGCTTTCCAGGAGGAGGTCCTTTCGGAGGAGGCTTATTTCCCGTTGGTGGCTTACTCGGAGGAGAACCTGTTCTAGATTTACTAGGAGGTGCCGGTGGCTGTTTAGTGGGAGCTTTGTTGGTGGGTATTTTCGTAGGCGTAGGACTCGATGGTGATGGTCCTGCAGGTCCTGCAGGTGGCGTGGGTCCCGTGGGTGGCTGGTGAGAAAAACCGGCAGACCTTGGAGGCAGTATAGGTACACTAGGTGGCTTGGTAGGTACTACGGCAGGGTCTTTCCCTTCAGAGGAATTATCTCCTGGGGGTTTGCCGCCAGAAGACTTATCGCCAGTGCTCTTGCTTGCTTCCGGTGGACTTGACTTCCTTCCGATAACATCATTCGATATCTTGTCATTATCTTGGCCAGAGCCTAAACTCCCGGTAACTTCATCCATGGTTTCTTTGGTGTCCCAGTTTCCTTTATCCAACTTGTCCCCAAATCCCAGCTCATCCAATCCATCTTTGGAGGATTTATCAAGAGCTTTGGGAACTTGAGGATCCACCGGAGTTTCAACTTTTCCTGTTTGAGGTTTCTCTGAACGTGATCCCACGGGAAACCGTATGCCCTTTCCCTCGCGGCTTTCCACCAGCATATCCGTGTCGGGAGGATCACCAGAATTTCCATCATTTGGTGAGCTTCCAAAATGCCTTATTGTATAAAATCCTTGATGGAAATTCACCTCGTTTTTTCTGAACTTATAGTGCAGATCCTTTTGAATGGGGTTTTCTGTAGAGTCCGCAAAAATACTGCGCCGAATTTTGGAGATTGGATGACTGAACGAGAACCTCCAATGCTTGCCACGCCGCCAGGTGTTATAGAGCGGCCTTGTGGCCCCTTCCAATGAGCAAAGGATCTTAAGATTACCACAACATACGGTGGCATTGAAAAGTTTGCCGGACATCGTGGGTGTGAATTTTGATAGAATGGCTGCCGGAAAATGCAAAATAAATGAGGAAATGGGAAATTCAAACGAAAGATTTAAGTGACATGTGAATCGCAGGCAAAAATCACTTTCTAACTATTCAAGTTTTCTGCTCTACTTTTGAGGATTTATTGATAACACTAAAGTTTATTTATAATTAACTAAAATAAATCTTTAAAACAAATCCTGTAACCTATGCATTTCCCACCATTCCTTTACGGACAAAGTTAAAAATTCATTTGCAGATGACGGAAGCCAACACTTGGCCAACTCGCCCCGAGTTCCAGTTCCAATTTGCATAGCTTTTAGGCGCCGTTTGCCTTTGCTATTGCCATTGCTTTTGTATTTGGCGCCTCCAAGTTTGGCGACTGGCACCGACGAAGAAGTGAAACTTTCGCGGCCAAAAAAAAGCACGCGACAACCCTTTCGATTCCAACTTTGCTGCGAGAGGAGAACCCAAAGGAAGGGAAACTCGAGGCTAGGACTCGTCTCTGATTCGGTTTCGTTTCGTTTTGTTTATTCCTATTTGGGTTAAGCTAATTAAATTACTTTTTCGCCTGCAATTTCATTTTCAAAATTTGTTTGCTTTGAAGGTCGGCTTTCCTTTAATTGAAAAAGTTTCGCCTGGCCGCCTCCCGGCGCCTGGCCTGGGAGATCTCTGTTTGGAGCTGGCAAATGATTTAATATGAAAATTTCTGTCATGTATTTAATTAGACGGGAGTGCTCGCTCTCGGTTTGAGTTTCTACATTCCTGGTAAACGAAATTAGCTGCGAAAGGCAATCAAATTATGCACAGAACCCAGTACCCAGCCCTCGTTTTAATGGGCACACCTGCCGACATATATGCGACCGATCCGCCCCTTCCGACACACCGTAGGACCACGCCCCCGTCGCACCGTTGTCACTCGGCATAATCATATTTCAACGGATTAGCATAATTTTAACCGAAAAGAAAAAATATTAATAACGAAAAGTGAATGGCGGCTGACGGTGGCATCGAGTTGCAGACAAGAGTGGAAGAGTGGAAGAGTGGAACCCCCTGCCCCCATGTCGCGTTTTATTAAATTTTCCTACTGTTCTAGCGAAACCGAGCTCAGTCTCAGCTCAGCTCGGCTCACATTTATAATTCAGGCGCATTTATATTCATATTTGGTGAATTTCTGTGCAGGGGGATTTTTTTCTGTTGCCTTTTTGGATCGCCTTTGTTTTTGGCCTTTAGTTAGTCGCTGATGGTTTGTTTGTTTTTTTTTTTTTTTTTGGCGTTGGCGTTGAGTCGCACATTTAATCGTAAATGATTGATGATCTCGCGGTGGGGTTAACTCATCTAAAACAAACACGGATTCGGATGCCGAAATCATAATTCGCCACGGGTCGCATCGCCAAGCTGTCTACTATAGTTGACTGCGCATGCGAGGGCGTTATCTCCTCCGACTTACCGCTACAGATACCCGATATCTATATACCAATGGTACACATACTGCTGTTTGTCCGGCAAAGGCAAACATTTGTGCAGATAGCAGTTCATGTTTGCTCTCACATTCGGTTCGGAATACGCACCTGCAAATGGAGAAGAGCAAATAGATATAGGAAATTAGTCAATCATCGGAGGGTGCAAATTGGAGTGTTAAAACTTATAGTCACATACTAAAATTGCAAACTTAAGTGTGATAATTTTATGTAATTTGCACTTGGCCTTGGGTTGAGTGGACGTTAAATGAATAAAATATTTTTTTATGTAATCCCTTTTAGATAGTTATAGATATATTAAGATCAACAATAATATTTGTTCTTTCAGGTGAACAGTTATCTTAGTTTCCTTAACTATCCAACTCAAAAGTTACTCAACAAACGCTCTTTTTAGTCTTAATAGAGATGTTTGAAATTTCCTCATCTTTAATGTTGTATAAAATCAATTACACCAACTTTAAAAATATATATTAAGCTTTAAAAGTTTGTAAATCTTTAGGCTTCGTAAAATAATTATATAAATCTAATTTCTTCTTTTATAATACAACAAATTCCACGCCTATGGCACCCCCCAACACATATTTAACACTTTTGTTATTGTTTGCATTTACTTCTACTTTTGTTTATACTTCGGCTTATTGTGAAAAAAATAAATAAAAAAGACAAGAAAAAACCTAACCAAGAACGAAAGAAACTGCGGCCAAAGTCAATAAACCGTATAAAAGTACAACAACAAATGGAAACAGGAATAAAGTGCCGAGCAAATAGGCGAACAAAATAAAAATAAAGGGAGCGCAGCGAATGAAGCCAAAATACTCAAAGAAAAAGCCAGGCTTAGGCAAAGCTCTAACACGAAAAAATAAAAACAAAAACAAATCAAGTCATTTTGGGTTCAAACAAAACCAAAAATCATTCACACATATGCCTCTGCGTGTGTTTATATATTTTTATTGGGGATTTTGTTGCTGTTGCGGCTGCGATAACAAGACAAGAAAACCGCCAACGCCATATTAGCCGGGCTTCAAGGCACTTAGGTCCCAAAGAATGAAAAAAAAGACTGCCAAAATATATGCAGAAATCAACTAAGGCAATTTGCTAGCCTTTTTGGCTCAGTGGATGAGGGCTTTTCATTCCTTTCATGCTTGCGTCTGTCCGTGCTTTTGACCAGCCCCATGTTTGACTTTTGTTGTTGCTCGTCATAAAGTGATTTATGGGCTTTAGGTGCAAATAATTGATTTATGCGCCGCTTCGGACATTGCGCAATGTAAATACAAGATACGAACAGAAATGGGATGGCTGGATGGATAGATCTTGGCAGAATGTTGTCAAAATAGTGCGCCAAGGTAACCGAGACCCACAGTCAGAAAAAAGGTGGCAAGAGTGTTTACCAACAGATACTTATCCCATTACACGCACTCGGAGCGGAAATGCCAACTAGTCGGCCATGTATCTATGTATAAATCTGCGTTCTATTCCGATGCTGTGCACACTTCACTAGGCATTAACCTTTACCTTTCCCGTGAACATAACAATCCAAAGTATACAGACGCGCCACTGGCATCCATGAATCAAAAACACACAAAAACTAAAGATTCCGGCGACGTTTGTATCTCACATCCACAGAAAGCCCAGGGCGAGTGTGCGTTGTGTGTTCATTGGAAAAGAACGATTACGCGGCACAAAAGACATGGACAAACAATGAACCGGAGCAGCAGCCCAAGAAGTCGATGATGGAGATTCCACAGAGGGAGTATCTGAAAGATACAACCGTTCTGTGTACGCGGGGTTAAGTGTCGGTGAGTAAGTCGTCGGCGAATTCGGCTTTGACTTTGCTCCTGCTGCTGCATCATGGTTGCATAAGCCACCAGTGTTGCCCAGACATTAACCAAAGCAAATCGGTCAAAGGGAGTGGAAAATTGTATCGCCAGCCCCTCGAAGATACAGATGCACAGCGAGAAATAGATGTTGTTAGATCCTTTTAAGGACTACAGCTCAATTTACAGTATCTATGAATTCCATAACACAGTCATAGAAAATCTTCCAAATTCATAGTTATTATTGAAGTCCCGCTGTAATTTCTTACCGTGCACCGCCACGGATACAGATACAATTCCCGTCTGCAACTGCTTGCGTTTGTTTGTTTGTTTGATGAATTTATTTGTGAACGTTTAAAAATAGCTGCTGGCAGGTACAAAGCGTGAGATACAAACGTATCTACTACCTGTCTGTGCCAGGCTGCTGTGCCTGGGCAAATTTCACACATTTTATAGCTCTCAGGGGCGCATCCAGCAAATACAAGGGACCAGGCCAAATATTTAATTGAGGCGATTCCTGGTTCGAGCCATATCTTATCGTCTTCTTATCGGTGAGTCGGTGCATTCCAGCATTATCATCACTATCTGGCCCTGGAACGAGTTCATGTCCAAGCGGAAGGGGCCAACAACGAGTTGACAACTTCCTCTGGACAAGCTGGAGGTATGTTAACTTAATTGCGACCACTTTGGCTCGATTCTAATTAAAATGTGCGACCTTTGGTAAGTGAAACACAACCCAAACAGGTTCAGAAACGAGCTGAACCCATCCACTCGAGGCATGAATGAAAATGAGATATGGATACACCGAAAAATTGTCACTACTGCCACTGCTGGTCGTCAGGTTTATTATGGGGAAGGCCGTGTTCCTGGAAATCGTTTTGTTCCCTCAATGGAGCGGAAAACACACCTGAGAATGAATGGCAGTTAGAGACGACGATGAGATATTCCAGCGATTTAAATACGAGCAGCGGACAGGCAACATCTGTGTGGGTCCATGGATCTCTGAGAAATCCCAGATACGCTTTCGTGCAAGAAAGCCAATCAATGACATCATTCCGCCTTCGAAACAACAGAAATTAAACAGAACTCGAACAGAACCGAAATCCAAAAACCGAGAACCGAAGACTGAAGACTGAAGACCGAACGGAGGCACACTCGAATTGCCTTTTGTATTGAGGTCAAATGTGTAAAAACACAAAATTAAAGCAAACATTAAGAAAGTAGATTTTTCTGTTTCGCTGTCTGTTTTTTTGCTCTTCCAGTTGTGTGAAATCGATGGACAGAAAACGCTCCAGCACATAGGCGTCGTTAATTTTAATTGAAACTAATTTGCGCGAATATAAAAAACCTAAAATGGTTTTGGTTTTATTATTCCCCCGTTGGGCGTGTTGTAATATCAGCAATGGATTGGAATGTCGATGAAGACCTCTCGGACACAAAGCAGAAAGAGGTTTTGTTTAAATTTATGGGAGCATAAAATGTATCTCCAAGATTGATGATGGATACAGTCCGTGTGTAGGAAGCGGCTTTTTATATCTAATCAATAATTAAGCCTGATTTTGTGATTAGATGTTTTTATAACCGATGAATGTTGTCCTTGTTCAAAAGTTTATTCATAGATTTTCGACCTTTGCTCTGATGGATGATATTTTTACCTCAGTTTGTAGTTTTAAGTCTAATATTAATTAACTCTTGAACAGTGATTCATCGACTCTTGGACTTATTTTACAGACTTCTGTGAGTGCCTTTCCCACGTTTTACTATGGCTTTTCCGAAGTATTAAACAAGGTCGTGCCGGAATGAATGGCGATTAACCCAACTTTCCGGCCACTAAACTCCATTTCCCACTGGGCGTGGAGGGGAAAACTCATTTCTAGCCATTAAGCCGCTGGACCAAACCTTCGTAAACTACTTAAAACGCACTCGTAATTAGTTTTTCGTCCAGCACCAAATCAATTAAGAATTTTGTCTGGCTTAGAGTTTAATTGATCGCCCTTGGTGCGGAGAAAGAGGCAGAAGGCAGAAGGCAGTGGACAGAAGGCAGTCGGCAGCAATTAAATTCAACTGAAAAGAACTCAAAACTTAATTGATGAGATAAGTTTGTGCGCTCGACTGGCTGGAGGTGGGAATCGATCTAAAAGGGTAGCTCAGGAACACAAACACGGCTCCGGCGTCCGACTGCAACTGGAACAGAGATAAATTTTTAATTATCCACCAGATATGTCGAACAAAAGCGAAATACAATCAACATGTATCTCATGAATTAAACAAAACGAGAAACGAGTTCTTTGGGCCATTGGAATTTCGCTGACGAACTTTACGATCGGCTCGACATAAATGTTATGGATCGTTTTTGGTTCTGCTTGATGGCTTCAGCTACTTATTTGATGAATTTGCCTAGCCGACTTTAAGCAGCTTTATGTCTCTGCAGTTAAGCCTTAAGTGGAGTTCTATGGATCGGAATGGAACTTAAACTTTTAATTGGCAAATTCAAACGCTTTGAGGTCTTCCTGCAACACAGTGGGGGCTTTTGTGTGCACTTTTTCCCCGAGCTAATTAAAATTTTAGGGGCACCGGCTCCTTATGAAGATATAACCCAGCGAACCGACTGAACCGCCCACGTCATATGAATCCGTTTTGAAAAAGTTGTTTGCAAGCAGTTTTCCCCGCTGCAAACGAGTCACGTTTGCCGTTGCCTTTGCCTTTGCCTTCTCTGTTTGCACTTTTCACTTATCTATGCGCACAGATAGAGATACGCGGATACACGGGCTCATATCTCATAGTTTGCTCTAATTTCTGTTGCGAGTTGCTTAAATATTTAGTAACACGCCTGGGCCCTCGAGCCCACCTTGCAGGTAGGGAGATACAGATACTCAAGCAGCACACAAGCAGCCACAGATACAGATACAGATACAGATACAGCGCGATATGATTAGATACTGTAACTACGACTTCCTGTTCGTCCGCTCGTTCGTTGGTCTTTTGTAACGCCAACATTAATGTTCATGTTAATGGCCACGAAGTATGTTTTTGCTCCTCCGCTCCGAATTTATTCTCCGCGTTCGCTTCGTTCTTGGTCGAGAGCAACTCAATTAGCAGTCGGTCGGTGTGCGCAATTAAATTAAAATTTAATTTTATGTCGAGCGCCTCCACCACGCAGCGCAAAGGTACTACTCAGTGCAGAGAAGACCGTCGAACCCCAAACCGAAGCAGAAACATTTATCGTATGCATGACACCGACATGAGATTAGCATCACAAACAGCACATAAACGTAAAAGTAACACACACGGCCAGAGCAAACAGAAAGAGATACAGATGGAGATGGGGCCGGAGATACAGATAGAGTGCGGATACAGATACAGATACTCGGTACATTGCTACATTGGTACATTGGCGGGGCATAAATAACTCGGCGGAGGCGGAGGGCGCAAGTGGAACTATGTAAACAGTAAATAAATGTCGAAAACAAAGTTCGGCATACTTAAGCAGGAGCAACGACCAGGCAGCAGTTGCACAGGAAGAAAATGCTAGTGCATTTGGTGTAAGTTGCTCAACAGTAGATTTAATATTATTATTCATATATTTCATATTTTTCATATATTTCAGATTGTTAATGAACGTATTTGGAGAATAAGAAAATTAATTGCTTTATGAAACAGTTCCCCTTTTTTTAGGTGTACAGCTCCAGAGAGTCGTCCATAGGTGCTGATCGGAGATACAAGTGCGGGCATTAGCCAAATTGAAATTCCTTGGGGCAAACGCTAATAACTTGCAAGTTCCAAGTTCCAATCGCCGTCAGCAGCTCAATTGGGCGGGCATTCAGGTGGATAAGTCCCCGGAAGACACACACAAGCAGAACCGGGAACATGCACTTGTAACTTTCAGTTGGTTCTTCACACTTTGAGGCCATGCGGCAATGCGGGCGGCTCAGCAATGTATCTCATAGATGCCTCTCCCAGCCTGCCTTCTACCTGCGTGTGTGGGAAAGACCGGCCAAGGAGAACCAAGAAGCGAGAAACCCAGAATAAGAACCGGCAAGAAGAAAAACAAGGTACGAGTGAGAGAGAATCGGGGCTCGACAGGTAAGCATTGTTATTGCACATGGTAAACTTGCAACATCATCGCCAGATACCAGATACACTCCGATTCGGAGTCGCATTTGTATGCCAGGCGGTGCCTGGATGTGTATCATGTAATTGTGCGTAAACGCGTAAATACCGAGTCAAGGTCGGTTAATCAATAATAATTATTTTTCACTCAATTACACGACTCTCCAACGATACATTCGCTCTTTTTCGGCTGTTTTGTGATCTTATCTTTTGTTTGGTTTTACGTATTCTGTTTTTTGTTTTCTGCCTTGCGTTTTCGGCTTTATTTCTGACTCGGTTTGCCCTCACTCAAGTGTGAAATATGCATAAACAAAAATATGCCATCGCGTATCTGTATCTCATGGATATCGATATAAATACACGCAGCCTTCACACAGTTTGGACTCTCGGAGATGCGTGCCACTTGATATGGCACCGCCGAGAAATCAGAATACCAAATGACGCCGCCACAGCCGCAGTTACAGATACAATCGCCATCGCCCCGTGCACAGATGTATCTTTGCATCTTTGCGAGATGTAATGAACCTGGCTGCACCACTCTCTGTCTCTGCAAAACTTTATCCGCGTCCAAGTCGAAAACTTTTCGATTCAACGAGGCGTTACTCAACGCGCAGCGCTCTTCTAATTGCAAACGGCGCCCGGCCTTTCGGTTTGCCTTCGAGTGGTCATAGTTTCCATGGCCTCGCCTCGCCTTGCCTCTCCTCAAGTGGATGCCCATTCTGGGTTCCAGTCAGTTCAATGGATTTGCATATGCCTCTAGTTTCTGGCGGGGATTGGGAGTGGGAAAGAAGAGCGATTGCAGCTGCGGGATGCCAAAACTTTGGCTGCCGCGCAATTGACTTGATTGAAGTATTTACGAGGACTCGAGCTTTGTCCTGAATTTTTTGACAAAGCGGTGCAGATATTTAAATACCCCTAAGAAAGGAGTCTGTCGATTTTTAAAGTATTTGAAAATTCATTTTTACTCTAATATAAATCATTATATTGTGAAATACAATAAATAAAACCATATTAACTGCCTACGAATTGAATCAGATTCAGTTTGACTTAAAAATATGTCATAATTAAATTCTGAAGTTCACACAATAATTTTAATTTGTATTCATTAGTAAACAGCATACAGTTAACTTGTGAGACTTTTCTTTGTAAAACCTTATATGTGAGAATGTTTTGTCTTAAGAAAAAGAATAGACCTCTGAGTGAATTTTCCATTCTTTTTTACATTCTTATTCTTGTCTTATTTTTATACCCTTGCAGGGTATTATAATTTCAGTCAGAAGTTTGCAACGCAGTGAAGGAGATGTTTCCGACCCTATAAAGTATATATATTCTTGATCAGCATCAACAGCCGAGTCGATCTAGCCATGTCCGTCTGTCCGTCTGTCCGTCCGTCTGTCCGTCCGTCTGTCCGTTTCTACGCAAACTAGTCCCTCAGTTTTAAAGCTATCTGAATGAAACTTTGCATATAGTCTTCTATATACTCTCACTGCTATATATGTCGGAACGGGCCGGATCGGACGACTATATCATATAGCTCCCATACAAATGTTCGATAAATTTTTAGAAAAAAATTATAACTTTGCTGTTTTTCAATATTTTTGCACGAGAGATATAGCCATTTTATATTATTTCAGAATTTTGGTAAAAATTTTATGAAAATCGGACGACTATATCTTATAGCTGCCATAGGAACGATCGGCAAATGAATAGGAAAAAAATTATAACTTCGTTGTTTTTCAACATATTCTTATCTACTTTTAGATATAAGCTTTTTTTTATTATTTCAGAATTTTGGTAAAAATTTTATGAAAATCGGACAACTATATCATATAGCTGCCATATAAACGATCGGTAAATGCAGAGAAAATGTAAAGCTGGGATTGTAAAACTGTAACTGTCAAACTGTAAACATAATAAGTATAGGTAAAATGTAATGAAACTCTGTTTTGTGTGTGTTTTCAGCATTTAAATCTATAATATAAACATCAAAACCAATCTGCAAGGGTATACAAACTTCGGCGTGCCGAAGTTAGCTTCCTTTCTTGTTATTTTTATTATTTATTATTATTCTTATTATTAAGTCTAAACCAACATGATTAATTTATTAATATTATATTTTCATCAGCTCCTATTAAATTAGTATTACTTTAATCGATTTTTGCGATCTTCTTAGAGTAATCAAACTCAAGGAACTTCCTTGTTCTTCGTTTTTATTTCTTATTGTAAATAAACTTAAAATATTTTAACGAAATTTTATATTGGGTAATATTATTTATGCAATAAGGAACAATTTGAAAAATTAATAACCATCAAAAATATTTATTATATTATTAATAATATTAATATTCTTGCAGTTACTTAATTTCCCGCAGCTACAGTCAATTTAAGTTGTAATTTGGAAAATTTTAAAGGGTTGCAAAAATTGAGAAAGTATTGAACAAAGGTTTTTGATTAAAAGCCCAAGTGAACCTCTGAGAACTTCATCAGAAAGACTTAAGTTATGAGAACTTCTTGCTCCCAGAACTAAGACTATCTTCTGCTGCAATTCCCATCAGCAATTTCTAGCTTTGTCATGTTTTCGCAAGGGGTCGCAGGTGTGAGATCGAGTACCGGGAGTATCATGGCAATGTGCGAACTCTACGTTACCTTTCTCGTTGTGGAATCCACTCGACTTGATGTCGATTGATTCGAAGTAACTCTTGACGGCCTCGCACTGATGCGCCGTTCCCAGCGACGCCGATGTGGCGTCCTTCGCCCGCGAGTCCCGCTGCAGGCGTCGCCGGTGGTGCGTGGAGGCGCTGTGCTGATGGTGTTGGTGGTGGTGGAGGCCACCTACTGCTCCGCCGCCAGCCTCCAGGTCACCCAGGTGCTTGGCAGCTGAGAGGCCGCAGAGCAGGGTCAAAAGCAGGAGCATCTGCATCCTGGCCGCCATTTTCGATGGATGAGGATGGATGGATTCTGCTGCACGGGCTGACTGCTCGATGATGCGGCGAAACTCGATTTGCTCTGATTTTCTCTTGTATATTTTTTATTCGATGTATTTTCTCTTTGTATTTTACTTATTTCTGCATGTTGTCTGCGGAACAGCTGTTCGCGGCCAACAACCAACACACTCACAGCTGCACTTGCCGGCTAACACAGACGCACACGCGGGGAACACACACAGCTGGCACACTCGCGCACACACAAGCACCAAAACAAAAGGCCCCAAAAACACGCGTGAGCAATAAAAGTGGTAGTAAACGTGAGCCAGAAAGCAGCCGGCAGCGAGAGTGGGCAGCAGCACTTTTGCGGCAGTTTTGCTAATTTTTCTTTTTCTGCGGACAATATTTCGCCGCCTTCGAAGGGGTATTTACTCGAGGAGAGCACTCAGTCGGTGACTTTCCGTGACATAACCATGTAACACACAGTAAGCAGTACTCAATTCCTAGACAATTGATATGCAAGCGATTGGCCTCTGTTTCTATTGCTTTGTATTTTTAGATTTCGCAATACTTTAGCCACCGGCGGCGTTCACAGGCCGGGGAAATGCACTCGCACTTCGCACTCGTAATATTTGGCGAATTTCGCCTCGAATTTCCCAAGATTTTCCGCGCGCGCAACGAACCTTCCACGACGAGCGACCCGAACAGTTTGACCATCAGCTATCGCAATCGACATCAACCATCCGCCCCGTGAGTGCACGAAGCGCCGCTCTTGAGAGCCGACAGCCCTCGTGCTGGCTTCGGCTGCTGGTCGGCGCTAAGAGAGCGCCCGAACGCCCTCGCACTTGCCGAGAGCTCTCTCTCGGAGAGAGAGCAATCAGATGTTGGCACAGTGGTGCAAATTAATAGAGTTATGAACAATGGTTTAAAGTGAATTGCTTACCACTTTCTGGCATTTACTGAAAAAAATGTAAAATTAGACTTTTGTTTAGAGAACTTAAGGTATTATTTTAATCATCCTTAATCGCCATGAAGTAAATGGTAAAAATAGTTTATTTATAGTTTATATTGAGTTGCAACCAAACTAAATTATACTTAGAATTCATATCCATTTATTTCTTGCCTTGCTTTTAGATATCCCCAAAAGTTCAAAGCTATTGTTTATATGACACATCCATCCTGCTTAGATGTTCGGATATCCTGTTTAGCCCCAAGATCATTAATCACTTTAAATATGGGTTATTTTTATAAAAACCGACATTCTTTCCTGGTAAAAACTTAAGCCCCCTGCCACCTGTGAATCATCAGTTAGTGGCAGGCTTGATTATTGTTTTCCCCTGGCTAGTTGCCTTAAATATTTATTCAAATTCCCGAAATGCTCCTCTAAAAGCTTTCAACGGTGGCTCGATGCAATTTGCATATTCAACGTAAATCAATCCATCTCACAGTGGTCTTCTCGGGTTCTTTGATTCGAGTCCATGGAGCTTGTTTCCAGGCTTTCATCGTTGCCGCTGGAAAAATTTGCATGCTCGCTTCTAATTGATGGCTGAATGAGTTCTAATTTTATTTCATTGGCTGGTCTTTTACGATCGGTTTAATGAACCCGTGGAGCTAGCTCGGATTTCACACCTTTCAACGAAGAACCTTTGTGGAGTTAACCGATTTTCCTAGGGCCTAGGTAGTTATACACTTGGCAAACCCAAAGAGATTTCTTGGTTCTCGGACTTGTAGTAATATTGATTTAAAAGCAGCTGGAATCCAAATTAAATCTCTCGAAACTTAAAAAATTACTTATTTCTTTCCAATTTTATACCACTTCTCCAAGTGTATTTAAATGGATTGCCGTGTCATGACCTCGCTCAGCACGTGTGTTTGTGTCTCTATTTTTTGAGTTTTTGTGTTTTGTGGGATTTCTTCTCGTTGCGATTTGCGAACCCAGGCAACCCAGGCGATTGTTGGGTGTTGAGGCTGCAGCGGTGTGGCAGACAATGCACGACTCTCTTCTGACTTTCACTCGTCACCCCCGCGGGCACCGACCTCGATCTTAAATACCTGAGCGCTCTGGGTATCTATTTCTTCATTAACAAGATACTATGCCGGGCGGACTTCATGGTGGTCAGTTGCGGGTCTCCAGCTGGGCGCAAACGCCCTCCCAACCGAGCTGCCTGCCTGCCCGGTGATATGTTCATCACGAAATGGAATCCTATTCAAATTAGTGTGCGATAAAGAAAGACCTCCCAAAAAAAAGAAGGAGAAAAAAAGATCCGAAGACTGAAGACCGCGGGTTAACAGCGAAAAGTGAGTCATGCGAAGCGGAAACAGTTCTCCAATGAAACGAATCCACATCAGAACCGGCAACGACGACGATGTGATGATGATGGGATGGCAAAAACCAAGAAACAGAATCAAAATCAAAAACAAAAAAGAGCTGGAGCTGGAGCTGGAGCTGGAAAAGGTGAGGTCGAAAATTAAACACCACCACATCGTTTAGATAAAGTTATAAATTATAATGTACGAAGCTACGGAGCGATCGATGATGAGAGCGGAGGTACCAAAGAAACCGAAACCGAAACCGAAACCCTTTTACAGGTAAAGGTAGGGTTATGCACACACCTACATGTGTATACTGCCTATAGGTGTGTGTTGGACTGAAATTAAACGCATTTAGTCAAACGGCATCTATAAATTATGGCTGCCTCCGATCGGTTGGCCAAAAAAGCAAATATGAGAGCTCGAGTTTCGTTTAAACGCTTGATTTGTTGGCGGCTATCTATGCCTTGGCCCGGACCGTCCCGGCCCAGTCCCGGCCATTTGTGAGCGCGTATGTGTGCGCATTCCACAAGCGACAGCGTTTTACCCTTGAAATCCTCCCGAAAGAGACGGCGAGCGAACAAGCCAGCCCCGGCTTGCCTTTTATCCTGTGGCACAAACACGTTGGTGGCATTTTCCCTCAGCCGGAGCAGAGTGTGTGTGGTTGTGTGTGTGTAGCTGTGACTGGTCCAACAGGTTCCATGGAGATTCTTCTCCCTCCCTCTCCCAAAGAGTGGCGGCATGCAGCATTTCTCGTTCTCGGTCTTGGTCTTGGTCTCGGTCTCGTTTTGCACATTTTTGAATTTTATTTTAATTTCTTTTTATTATATTTTAGCCTGGCAGGCTCCCCCTCCGCACCACTACTGCCTCCGGTCCTCTCTGCTTCTTCAGCAGAGTCTTTGGGTTTCTTCAGCTTCTTTCGGAGTTTGTGCAACTTTTTGGTTTGTTGATTTTCATTCACCAAAAACTGGTTCGACGTTTAAGTTCTTCACTTGGCTTAGACAGGGGGTTTTCAAGGAAGTTCTTGCTCTTCGCATCTACCTGTCTCCCTCGCTTCCTCTCTCTTTCTGTACCAATAGCCCCTCTCTTTCTCCGTTGGGTCTCCAGGAATGTGTGAAGTCATCGAGCAGGGGGCAGCAGAGATTTGAATGTCAGGCCCCGTCGTCTTATACTTTTAAAGACTTGGGCGGCACTTGCAGTACCCGGCCTTAAATTCCAAACCCACATAGATACTCTCGCACACTTGCTTGCCTACTCGCACACAGTTACACCAGTGCCAGCACACACACACACACAGGTCCCTTCGAGGGCTGCGCTCGTTTTTCCCTCGAATCTGGAAATCAGTCAAACGAAACAGACATCGATAGCACTTCATCATGTAACAATCAATGCAAGGCCCTGCACTGCGAGAAAAATCACGCACTCTGCCCTCAGCAATCACCTTTTACCGCTCGTGCCAATTACGGCGGCGGCGAAGCCAGAATTATTAGCGACTTGGCCGGGCCAAATCGAGTTGTGCGCACCGTGTAATTGTATTTCATTGCAGGATATTGGATTTTTGTGCTTGATTTGGCACATTGTGATGCGTGTTCACCTTGCCCTGCCCTGGCCTCTGGGTAACTCACAGATACACATACAGCCACACCCCCTCAGGTCTACGGGCAAGGGTTCCAGCCACGCCACGTTACTTGTGTCAAAAAGCGGTCCAGTGTCTCCCCTTGACCCTTCTGCCTGACAGCTACTTGTCAATGGCCGTGATGAGTGTGCGCCCAGCCAGGCCCTTCCTCTCCCAATTCAGACCGACACAACCTGAAGTCTACACGGAGAAAAATTATGTATAAAGAATGAAAATTTTAAATTAAGAACTATTTTAAATAAAAAGAACGGTAATAGTTGAGCTTAAAGCAATTCAACCAAAATGTTTAAGGACCAAGGGCTTTCTGTACATTAATAATATTTTTCTCTCTGTAATCCATCGTGCAGGTGCTACGAGTTCCAATGCAAGCGATTTGGGACTGTGTCTGTCAGTGACAGAGATATTGCTAGAGGAACTGAACGGGGGAGAATGGTTCCGAGGATCCTGGGGGGGTTGGTTAGTGGACCGACCTCTTTGGTGGGTGGTGGCAGAGGGCTCGCGGGCAACGAGAACGTGTCATTGACAGATTTCAACGCAATTGCGTATGAATGAAATCGATTTTTTTGCCTTTGTTCTTGCTCCTGGTGATTGGGTCTAGGCTGCTGATAGCACCGGTCCATGATGACGATGATGATGATTGCCGTGATGATAGTAATGGCAATGGCAATGGATTGGACACACCGATGGCACTATTATAAGTTCTTGGGTAATAAGCAGTAAGGGATAAAAGGGATATTCATTTTCCCTTTCAAGATACATATATACACCACACCTTCTACCACATAAGCTCTTCAGTAAACTTTGTAATTTAAGAACCAGAAAATAAAGAAGTTAATAGTACCTTCCTTAAGGTGAAGAGCCTCCCACTAAGTAAAACATTTTTGTTAACAATTAAAACTATTTAGTGAAGCATAAGAATTCTTTAAGTTTACTTTTAATATTCAAGCTTTTTTACTATTTCTTTGATTATTCACTTAGTTTTGGAAAACGTTCTTATACAGTTCTTTGTATTTTTATAAATAGAACATTTATAACCATTAAATACACCCACTCCCACCAGAAGTCACGAACTGGATTCCCCGAGCGCCGCCGCACAGACACTTTCCCACCGTTGGCCCACTCACTTTTTATGGACTCCATCATATTTGTATTATCACTTTCGCATCTCGACCGGCGGCGTCGGTGGCTGTGGAGTTCCCACTGCACTCAACGGGTTCGGGTTCGGGATCGGGATCGGGTTCTGTCCCAGGTCCACCACTCCTGACCGGGCCCATAAACTAGCCCTCGGCAGATATCGGACCGGCTGACGAACGGACCGACGGCTGACTGCACTTGGCAACAGTGCCAGAGCCTCAAGAACTCTGCCACCAATAAATACAAGTATATACAGATGCCGCATACGAGTATAAATACGGGCAACAGGGGTGTTTATATTTTACACACACTCAGAGAAAGGTTTAAGATCTTAAATAAGTAATAATTAATTGATAAGCAATTTTTGTTGTGCTGGGATATTAGTAGCTAAGGCTAAAACTCTTAACTCTACACTCTGAAGCTGTAAAATGTAGAAAATAATTATAAAATATATATCCTCCTTGTAACTGTAATAGTTTTCAATTTAATTAAATGTATTTTTTTAGAAATGAATTCAAAACTATCATATTTTCATGTATATTTCTTTTCTCTGTATTTATATTTGCCCTACCCATGGCGGGTCCATAACCATTCCCATTCCCATTCCCAATCCCGAT